TGTGTGTGTGTGTGTGTGTGTGTGTGTATGTGTGTGTGTGTGTGTTTGTGTGTGTCTCTCTCACCCTCCCTCTCTTTCTCCTTTAATAAATTATACATAACTACATGCACAGAACACAAGCTGCCTTTAAATATCACCACACAGCACAGAAGTCACATTGGGATGACGGTTCTTTCTGTCCTGGCACAAAAAACACAAAATTGCTAGCGAGAACATCATGTAAAATGCCATGAGCCACTTGGTGGCATGATTGACACATTAAAAAGCATACTCCTTCAACTCTGCCTACACCCGAACGTATTCGAGGAGGGGGAGGGGAGAGAGGGGCGGGATGTGACGCATGGCGTACACAAAATCGAAGGTAGCCTTATACTCCATAAAAACAGCAAACCCAGTGGGGTTGGAACACGTGTCTTTTGCATGCACGGTAAAGAGCCTAGCCATTACGTCAATACATCTGCAGAGTATTTCCCGGACCATGCGAGATATTTACCACAGTTATGTGAGTTATGTTGGTGGTCTCGAAATTGTTACCCCTTACAACAGTTAATTAAGCTGCCTGGGGACTAAACAGTTCATGAAAGTATAATATAAACTTTTTTTTAAAAACTTATCAACGTTCTAAATTGGCCAACAAAATAAAAATCCCAAAGACAAAACAAAACAAAAACTTACTCATTGAACAACATATTGTTTTTTATTATGTCAAAGGCATGTTTCTTTTACGTTCTTTATGTTTTTAATCCCACAGCCCTCCCATTTTGGTGTGTGCTTTTTTTTAATGCAAAAAAAAACCCAACGTTTTTTTTTTTATTTTACACCAAAATTTTACCAACATGCAGACCAACCATTGAGTATCCAATTTGATTCAGCCCTGGACGCCACTACCATTAGATATATGTGTCGTGACGCGGTGGAATCAGGTGCTCGTCAGTTTTGGGGCATACTATGGAGTTATTGGTGACATCTTAACGCTAGTTCTTTTGACTTCCTTTGAACGAAAAAAGACCCACTTATCTAGAAAAGAAGTTGAGATATTTGCAATTGAAGGAGGTTCTCGTTGTTGTTTTTTCGGGGGGAGGGGGTGTCACCTGGTGCCAAAGGAAAAATTAGCGAGAAAGCGGCTGCCAATCTGACGTCTAATACACATTTGCATACATTGTATTTTATAGCATGCGTGTAGTGGCCGGCTTTTGTAAAATTTCAGATTAAGACAAAACTGCTGAAAGAACTACATACGTTATTAAGACCTGCTTCCTTGCTTAAAGTGGCACATTTCAGCTCGTCGAAATACCAGAAAATGCGCAACCTCATTGAGTTAACTCTTAGAGTATAGAGCGCCAGTTCGGCTGGAGCATGCGTTGCCCGTACGTTTACATCAGTTGTTTTTTTTTAAACCTCTACAAAACCCCATCAAATACATCAAATTATCAACAATCAGATTGTACGTTTATTGCTTGTATCACCGTTGCCACTCAGTTTGGTGTTACAATATAGACTCTATTCAAATTGGTTATCCAGGAGAGGAGATATAGAAGGAATTGAAGTTTGTGTTGTTGAAAAAGAAGACGAAAAGGTTGGCAGCGTACTAAAGTGAAATAGCCTTCCCTACATTAAGAGTTAAAGGTGCTTTCAGGACTAAGTGTAGTGCTTGAGACATAGATCTAGCAGGAAATGGCGCTGAGTGGTAGTGGGGGACAAAAATGGATCCCTCTTGATATAATATTATGATATATTTCTTCGCTTTCGAGGCCCCACTAGATAGTAGATTGTGGAGGTGGACTGTAAATTCCGCGCGATTCGAAAGGCCAACCTCCTGTACGTTGGTTGGTCTAGTCAGTTATACCTACTGACGCAATACAGCGAGCGATGAACTGTCGCAGCTGGGCTGATATGCTCATCTGTTTTAAAGATGGTTTACTTTCACTACAGAAATGTTTGTGGTTGTTGTTGTTATTATTGTTGTACATGTAGTTTGTTTTTCACTTAATTATCGGTCAACGAACTGGTTTAAATGCCCTCTACTTTACGTGACTTAAATATTATTAATTGAAAAGCGGGAATTCCACATTTAACATCCATCTCCCATAGGACCAAGCCAAATTGGTGGAAAACCTAAATAATCCCCCAAAACAAACCGGGTTCAGAGCGTCCTATTGGGGATGCGAACCAGACCCGTCTGCTCCAGCATGACATCGTATTGATTTTTGATTTTCCGCCTCCCCCCCCGAACACGACGATAGAATGAAAATCAAAGCAGTAACACAAAACCCTACACAACTTTATTAGTTTTTAAGGATATTAAATTATTGAGAAAACAGAATGAACTCCTCCAATTCTGTAACTTATTCCAACAGTATCACTCCT